CGGACAACACAAATAGCACACAGTGCATCAGGTGGAAAGTTAAACATTTTTGGAGAAATACCTTGTATTGTGTCTAAAGATGCGGTAACAACAAATGCAACAGTGTATCTTACAAAGAAGCTAGCACTCGACTTAATGGGGTTGGATCTTATAGAAACACTTGACCTAGCAGACCACTCTATTAACAGTATCTGCAAACGAATCACAACTTACCACACCTCAGAGTGAAGTCAGGAAAATGCCATGCTACTCAAACACCAAGACGTGTTTAAAGAAGGATTAGGCGAATGCACGAAGGCTAAAGCAGTGCTAACTCTAAAGCCTGCAGCTACTCCCATTTTTCGTCCTAAAAGACCTGTGCCCTATGCTGCTCTTCCAATAGTCGAACAGGAATTACAACGACTTCAGCAAATGGGTGTTATCGAGCCTGTGAACTTCTCGAACTGGGCTGCACCGATCGTAGTGGTCAAGAAGTCGAATGGAAGTGTCCGTCTATGTGCAGACTATTCTACAGGATTAAATGAGGCTCTAGAGCCACATCAGTATCCGTTGCCCTTACCAGAAGATCTTTTCGCTAAGCTGAACGGTGGCAGATATTTTGCGAAATTGGACTTATCAGACGCATATCTACAAATCCCGGTATCTGATGAAAGCAAAGATCTTCCAACGATCAACACACACAAAGGTCTGTTCCGGTATAACCGACTACCTTTTGGGGTGAAGACAGCGCCTTCTATTTTTCAGCAAATTATGGATACCATGTACAAGGTATTCCAGGGGCAGCAGCTTACTTAGACGACATCATAATTATGGCAGTAGATAAAATAGACCTGCAGAAGAAACTAGACCAGGTACTAGAACACATAGCCGATTATGGTTTTCGACTCCGAGCGGAAAAATGTGATTTCTATATGCAGCAAGTACGGTACCTTGGGTTCATAATAGATAAAGACGGAAGACGACCAGATCCAGAGAACATTGAAGCAGTGAAAACGATGCCTAGACCCAGGGACATTACCACCCTACGATCATTCTTGGGACTGGTCAGCCATTATGATACCTTCCTTCCCGATCTCCATCGTCTACGTTCTCCACTAAACAACCTACTACAAAAGAATACGAGATGGAATTGGTCTGCAGACTGCCAAGCCTCTTTTGAGAAAATCAAGCAACTCCTGACATCCAATCTCTTATTGACACACTATGATCCTTCGCTACCGATAGTCGTCGCTTCAGATGCTTCTAACTATGGTGTGGGGGCAGTTATCTCTCAAATTTTTCCTGATGGGTCCGAAAAAGCTATCTCACATGCTGCCAGATCTTTGACAACGACCGAAAGGAACTATAGTCAGATTGAAAAAGAAGCCCTATCAATTATTTTTGCAGTGAAAAAGTTCCATAAGATGATATATGGCCGACATTTTACTCCAATAACAGACCATAAACCACTACTTACAGTTTTTGGATCAAAGAAAGGTATTCCGGTCCACACAGCTAACCGACTACAACGATGGGAAACCACACTTCTGGCGTACGACTTCAAGATAAAGTATCAGTCTACTACTGCCTTCGGACAAGCTGACGCATTGTCAAGATTAATAGGCTCCCAATTAAAACCCCTAGAGGAGACTCTTGTAGCAAATATAAAAGCCGAAGAAGAAGTTCATCGGGTATTGGATGACGCAATCAATGGACTCCCAGTAACCTTCGAAACTATCAAGAAGATCACTGAAAGTGATGAGGTACTGAGTACAGTCAAATGCTATCCGTCGACCAAATGGCCAAACAATCGCCTTGACGGAGAACTTTTGCAATATTTTCGTCGACGGGACTCACTAATGGTTGTTGACTCGTGTATTATGTTCGGCGATCGAATTGTTATTCCGTAGTTATTACGTCACAAGGTTCTCAAGCAGTTTCACAATGGCCATACTGGAATAAATAAAATGAAGTCGTTGGCTCGTAGTTATGCTTATTGGCCGTCAATGGACAAGGATATCGAGAATATGTGCCGTAACTGTTCATCATGCATTCAAGCCGCTAAAAATCCTGTGAAATGCGAACCTCAGTACTGGCCTACGCCTGCAGGACCCTGGGAAAGAATTCGTGCAGATTTTGCCGGTGCAATCCAAGGGAAACTGTTTCTAATTATCGTGGATGCATTTACTAAATGGCCGGAAGTATATACCATGCCAAATTGTACAACCTCAGAAACAATCTACAAGCTGTCTACCCTGTTTAGCTGTTACGGAGTACCAGAGACCTTAGTAACAGACAACGGCTCGCGATTCGCCGCAGAATCGTTCAAGCATTTCTGTAAAGCGAACGGAATAACTCATCTTCGTTCTCCACCCTATCATCCACAATCTAACGGACAAGCAGAACGCTTCGTGAACACCTTTAAACGAGCATTACTGAAGGGGGGAGCCGAAGGGCCGACTGGGCAGGTGATCACGAAATTTTTAACATCCTACAGATCCACTCCGAATCCGAATGTTCCGGACGGCAAGTCTCCTGCGGAAGCCATGTTCGGAAAACGTGCCCGAACCGTCTTCAATGCCATGTTGCCATCCAAATTAGTTGATGAGCGCAGTCACAATCCAAGTATTCGGAACTTCAATGTCGGCGACAAAGTTTACATTAAATCCTACATCGGGAAGAACCGATGGGAGCCGGGAGAAGTTGTACAAAAATTGGGAAGAGTTCTGTACAGACTTCGAGGAACTTTTGGGATATGTATACGACATACCAATCAAATCCTTAAAGGCAAAAGAACGATGCAGAATCGAAGTAACCCGCTGATTTTTCCGTTAGATTTAATCTTAGAGGCACAAATGCCAAAGAACACTGAAAGGAAGCCGTGGACAGGGAAGACGACGAGAATAATGGGACGACGTCGCAACCCAGTTGTCAAACTACAAGTTGACCCTAGAAAGAAATCTTATTCGGGGGGTGTTAAGTCGGCTTACAGTAAACTCTATCAGAGCCCCCAGAGGCTCATAAAGAGCCCAACCAACCAGCGATTAGTTAGAAGCTATGCTATTAAAATAACGAGGTTCTGATTGGCTATTTAACATACTGCTACTATGGAAACTCAAGGTCTTTTAATTATTATAAAACCCCTGTTTTTTCTGTACATAAATGAACCTTGTAGTAAAGTATTTCTCTCATACTCGTGTCTTCTCTCTGGTCTTCAAGTCGCTGAGTAGTGCTAGCCTGGGGTTATCCGAATAGCTTAGGATCTGAATAAAGCGTTCAACTTACAGCTAAGAAAGTTGATTAACTCTTTGGGTTCGATTATTGTTGTTTAATTGAGATTACATACATTAGGTGTAAACATCGTATGGATAATCAAGAGGTCTAAGATAATGTATTCCGGAATGACAGAGTTGATAGTTTTATGAGGATTAGTATTTTACAGCGCTAGTTTTCATGGCTTGCTCATGTTGTACGCACGTTATCAAGTCCTCCTATACTACACCAACACTTGAAGCGTATAGGAGAAATTGAAACATTACCGGTTCGTGATATAGAAGTTATTATGAGAACTATAATCCCCTAGTCCGTCACAAGGCGCTAAACAGGGTCCTATAAATACACCAACCCATTGGCTTTAGAACTCATCAAAGACGATTCAGAATAGAAGCAATTAGCCAACCTACCATGGTAAGATGTTATTATTAATTGAAATAAAATATATCTTGAATTCACTCAGTATTGTTTGAATCTTCCCAATGATGTTTAGGACTACAAATGGTAAGTCTCTTAATGGCATATGCGCAAACATCAATGGGAAGATTCAAACAAACAATAATAAGTGAATTTAAACTTCACCCCATCGCACAAGCAAGTGGCTATTAGGACTCAATAGCTGAGTGGATAATGCGATGGCGTTTGAAGCGAAAGGTACTGGGTTCGAGTCTCAGAGTGAACATCAACTCTGCGATGCAGGTAAATCCAGCTGACGAATCCCGAATAGGACGAAACACGCATCACACTGGATTCCACTGTTAGCCATTATCCATCTTTTCAAAATATATCTTGGTTGTAATTTTGCTAAGACTATATAATTTCATATGTATCATTGTTCTTTCAATTGACTATTCAATGTTTTAATCTGTATTCATTTTCCTCATTCTATAGTCAGTCAGTCACAACGTAGAACTTCGTATGTACGTACATCAATTCGAATTGCCATACCACATTAGCACAGAGATGAAGTTGTCGATTCATATCCTATAGTGGTAGAGGTAGTAAGAGTATAAGCACTGTTCCGAATGATTAGGGTTTGAAGATTTCATTCAAGGAGTATAACGCAGTGAAATAAATTTGGAAGGAGAAAAAGGATACGAACATGAAGAATTCAAAGGATTGGAATTTGGTAGAACACAAACAGTGGATGCACCTTCGACGTTGCAAACGATTTTGAGCAATGTCATTCAAGGTCTCCAACCATCGATTGCTATCATCTCGTGAATCCCAACCAGGTAGTCTACACCTACCAACATGGCTCAGTCCAATTGTCAGTGACTTCATGGATTTGTGCCACGTTTTGGTCTGGTCGCTATTAGTTTTCTTCCAACCTACTCCTACACCATAAAACATTGCACGTCAGGGCAGTCGGTGGTTGGCATACGTAACACGTGTCTCAGTCATCTCAACTGATGAAATTTCGCTACTTCATATATCGATTTGCCATCCTTACCTAGTACCCGTTTCCTTACAACTGCATTACTTACCCGGTGGTCCCAGGATATACAAGCAATGCTTCGAAGACATCTATGATCACATACTAGTAGCCTGCGAATATCCTCTACTCTTATCGGCCATGTTTCACTGCCATAAGTTCATAAAATTTTCCTTTCGTAACTGTATGATACACTTCTGAAAGGGTGTATTATACTAAGAGTTTTTCTGTTCAATAATAATAATAGTAGTATCAATAGTTTATCAAATGATATCAATTATTCAAAAGTATATAGTAAAGTACTAATACTGACCTTACGAGCTAAATAATCATCTCTTACAAAATAAATTGGACAATCATAATCTGTAGATCGTTGTTCAACACAATCTAATAGTTTTTCAACACCTATATAAAAGAAAAAAAAGAATAGTTATTTGATAAGATGTCAAAAAGTACATGTATTAATAAACAATTTTCTATGCAAGATACTCAATATCCTTTCTTAGGGGGCCACAATCGGAGCCCTTGGCCTAAAGGTCTGATCCACAAGACAGTGGAGCATCATGAGGAGATGCAGTCTCATGGCAGACGGTGATCAACGATTGATTCATACGCCATTTGTTCCATTAGAATACTAAGCCCATGTTCAAAATTGATTTGGAATCATGGTTTTCAACTCCCCTCTCGTATTGTCCACCAACCCGATTAAAGCGCCGGACATTCGCTTTTCGTCCTCTCAATTTCGTAAACAACACCCCCCGCCACGAGAAGGCAGTGAGTAGAACTTCCCTGGCAGAGGCTATATACACGTGGCCATGTGAGAGAATTTGGAGAGGGAGAGCGTACTCTCCCCCACTCTCGGCCGTACCAGGGCATTTAAAGGCTATAGACAAGACATCATTATCAAAAACTTGAACAACATTTGCTTATAGGAATATTTTGAATTACTCTCTATAGTCTGGAACTATTCCCATTATTACATTTAATCTGAATTTTGATAAGTTACACTTTTGAACTATCTAATTTGGAATTTCTTACCTTTATGCTTTTATCGATCGTTCCCCCTAAAATGTTCACATACCTATTCTATGAGTAATTCTAAAAATTAATTGAAAATAGTTCACACAATAGATTGACTTTAGTTAAACATAACCGCATTGGACAGCTACTTTGTTTCAGTCTACGACTGTTAAACAATGTACAACCTACATACCCCGAAAGCGTAGAATCATTGAGGAATGAATAAAATTCGGATTATTATTAGCCAAATATTTTACCTTGTAGTTTTACACGTTTACGCTATATATGAAGCGTGATAAATACACTTTTGTGAATGTGATAAAACGTTTCTAAATTATGATTTCTCAGGTATACATTATTCACAATTCAAGCTATGAACAACCAACTAATTTCGCTCAGTATAACATTAAAGTCAGTCAGTCAGTCAGTAACAACGTAGAATTTCGTATGTACGTACATCAGTTCGAGTTGCCATACCACATTAGCACAGAGATGCAGTTGTCCATTCAAATACCATAATGGTAGAAGTAGTAAGAGTATAAGCAGTATTCCGAATAATTTGGATTTGAAGATGTTATTCAAAGAGCATAACCCAGTGAAATAAATTTGGAAGGAGAAAAAAGACAGAGACATGCAGAATTCAGAAGATTAAAATTTAGGGAGAACACAAAGAGTGGATGCACCTTCGCCATTACAAACGATTTTGAGTTATGTCATTCAAGGTCTCCAACCATCGATTGCTATCATCTCGTGAATCCCAACCAGGTAGTCTACACCTACCAACATGGCTCAGTCCAATTGTCAATGATTTCATGGATTCGTGCCACGTTTTGGTCTGGTCGCTTTTAGTTTTCTTCCGACCTACTCCTACACCATAAAACATTGCACATAACATTAAAGTACAATTTAGTTGATTAAGATAACGTTCTAGAATATAATCAAATGAAAATAAATCAACTTCATCCTTTATTATCGATAAAATGAGTAATTCTTGTGTATTGACTTTTCATTAACTCCGCCTGTAGCCCCTCCGGAGGTTACTGCCGATCCCAATTCCGGATAAAGGAGGAGGGTTAAGTATGGGGTAACTGACCCCATCCTGTAGAAAACTAACTCGCTTATAATTCTCTGTTAATCATAAATTTTTGATGAATTCATGTAACTTCTTGTAAAATGTCTTTTACCAGTTGAATTCACGAGTCAATCTAAGTTAGACCAACATTGAAAACCTGGAAGCATTGGACAGCCGTTTTGTCCTAGTATGGTACTTTCCAACAGTGAAAATGTGGGACCGCGCACGCAAGACTCAAACCCTTTATCTTCCGCCTCGTTTGTGAACGCCTAAACTCTGAACCACTGAGGCGGCATTCAACAGTGTTTATGTCTAACTTCGGTCGACCCACGACCACTGGTAACTAGCTTCAAGATGAATTCCCTGGAGTTCTAGTGAGAAGCCGTGTCCAATAGAGTCCAATCTGTATAGGGTGGAGACGGTCATTCACATCAGACAATGGACAAAAGGTTGCGTAATGGTGGTTGAACTTAGATTGACTCGCGAGCTCAACGGTTAAAAAATTACAAACTCCACAAATCACCATCTCGAAATGTATTTCAAACTATGAATTCGAATCGAATCATTCAAAAAATGGATTTGTCGATAAATACCAATTAGCATTTTCAAACTGTTTAGGTATTGCTGAAAGTGCCATATTGAATAAACGATTTTCAAGAATAAACTAAAACTTATATAAACACCCACGTTTTTCTAGATATCAACGTTGGTATCAGTGGGGAATAAACCTTTGAAAATTTTTTTGTCTTCGCAACAGTTATGCGTTGTGTCAAGAACTGCTGAGGTTATAGTAAATGTCCAGTTGAAGAGTGTTCGAGTCTATGCACTATTAGGTTGATATTTGTAATTCCACATCTAGAACGTGAATGAAAGTAGCTACTACCTTGTCGTGACCATCAGGTTGGTAAATCGAAAAAATCCAGTGGAGCTACACTAGCTGGAACACTTGCTTCCTTAGGTCCTAACACTACGGGCAGGTTAATCGGAGAACTATGAGACTAAAAGTAGCAAATTAAGATCCGATTGCAAGGTTATAAGCTGACTGTACAAGAGAATCAATATCTGAAACGATGCCTCCTTCTCACAAAGGAAGGAAGGGGTTAAAGAAGGTTGATCCTAAAAATGTCATAGATCATCATATCTTCCGCCATAGACGGAGGTTTATGGAAGTAAGGCCTTGAAATTACTGAGCTAATTCATTTAAAACTTAGAACACAAAATCGCACGTGTGAACTCAAAAACACTTTGGCAGGTTTTATGGTATCCAGATCCAACGAACAGATAACGATAGCTGTCTACTGCATTGTCGCCCAGATAAAAGGTTATTCCTAACAGTACAAACTTTAAGCGTAAAGAAAGAAACTATAATGCGGTGAACCTCGACACTAACATGATGTCCTAGCCTAATGAGAGCACTAATTTCCATGCGCTTTACTAGAATAGGGAAATTCTCAGTAGGAACATTCTCTAGATATCAATTGGAAGAAAAAGAGATGAATGATACATGCAGGAGAAATTCAGTTAAGAACTAAGTTCATCATAGAGAAACAGCTCATACAGAAGAAGCCTGGAATGATATCAAAACACCTGTCGGTACATAAGTAACATCTATCAACAACTCAAATCAAGAGGTTAGGGATGACCAGTAGATTTTGATGGTACCTACTGAATTTATAGATGCTCGAAAATCCATTCCATCAACCTTGGAGAGTGATTAAGTTCGAAGATAACTCAAACGTAAACTAATAAAAACGTTGAACAATCATAGTGAGCATTGGTAAAAGATGAAAACAAAGGAGATGGAAAAGGAAGTGGGCTATAAGTGACAATAGACAGCTCTACCGAATGATCAAGGAAATACATGTTAAAAAGGCAGACTTTGGTGAGAATGTCTCGAAAAGAGCGAAATCTTAATCTATTCTAAATCTAGGGGGTTAGATAGACAGGTAGAACTCTTTAGCAAACAATTCAACAGGCTTGGAGTTACACTTTAATTACTGTATATCTTCAACTAAACTGAATGGTAAATTGTCATGTTTCCTAAATTTTAGTGGGGTTGAAAAGGCAGTACCCAATATAAAACGAAGATCATTGAATTCTGCTTGAATAAATTTGGCGGTCTAAAGGAAGGATAGGAAAGTTTAAGCAGTAAAGCTGACTAAGATATTGGCTTAAGTTTGGAAACTGCACGTTATTCTATCTGATTAGTATCGATTGTTTCGGTTTATGAAAAAGGAAACAACACATCTTAAGACAACCAGAGAGGGATCAGCTTAACTAATATAACCTCTAAAATTAAACTTAATAATCCTTTAACGTTTACTTAGTGCGATAGCGATTCCTAGAAAGCCAATCAGGTTTCATGTTTGAACCTGGAATTCTCACTATCCTCACTTTTAATTACCTCTGTCTATGATGTCCTAGAAATAAATGTTTCTTAAACCAACCCTTCAGGGGTCGATCTACTACCAAGACGTTCACTCATCAACACAGAACACGCACATTATATTATCCTATTTGGTGGAGACCCCAACAAAGTTTAGTATTTTGATAGATTTGAGCGATAATACTAACTTAAGGAATAAGCAAGATGCCCATCTTCCAACCAAAGGTCCTGGATAATGAGTGGAAATCCCTTCTATTCTACTCTACAGCATTGAAACATAGTATATGAGAGTAGAGAACACAATCTGAAGGCTTTTGATCATCGGTATCTTCAAATTATTGCTTGCGTTCCTTGATACAACCGAATGAGCAGTGTTCAGGTTACGTATTGGGTACTACCCAAAGATGACAAATAGGTTTATGAGGTTGTAAATCATGATTAACTGAGATGATCAGGATATGTGTTACGTATTCCTAATCACCATTTATCTTAACAGGCGATAACTATTCTTCTAAGAATTGGTTAGAAGAAAGCTAAGGACGTTCATACCAAGAAATGGCATCATTCTATGGAGTTATTGACTGTTTAACAGAGGCGTGCAGGTAGATGTGGACTACCTAGTCGAGGTCCGCACAATAACGACGATCAGCGGCGGGATATTATAGGTGGCATGGCTCAAAATCGTTCACACTGGCACAGAATCATCAACTATTTATCTGCCCTTGGGTCTTGAATACTGTTATTTGTCCATAAACACTCTTCCACTGTTTCTTTTCCAACCTTATTCATAATCCTCGACTTTTTGTTGTCATTGCTACTAAATTATTCAAGTCTGTTCTATTATATATCTTGTAACCTGTACCAGTGCATATTTGTACCAAACTGTGTTGATATTAAAGAAGGGTTAACTAACTTTACATCAGGATG